GCAGCCTGTTCCAGTGCCTCACTACTCCAGTACATAAATTTTTCCTAATATCCGATCTAACCCGCCCCTGGCGCTACTTAAGCCTGGAGACATTTCCTCCTGGCCTGTCGCTAGTAACCTGAGTGAGGAGGCCAACACCACGTCCCTACAACCTCTTCAGGGAGTTGTAGAGCGCAGCAAGGTCTCCTCTCATTCTCCTCCAGACTAAACAGCCCCAGTTCCCTCAGCCACTCCTCACAGAATGTGTTCCCCAAACCCCTCCCCAGCTTGGTTGCCCTTCTCTGCATTCACTCCAGCACCTCAATGACCTTCTTATCCTGTGGTGCCCAAAACTGGACACAGGACTCCAGCTGTGGTCTCACCAGGACCAAGTCCAGGGGCATGATCCCTTCTCTACTCCTGGTGGTCACACTATTCCTGATACAGGCCAGGATGCCATTGGCCTTCCTGGCCACTTGGGCACACTGCTGGCTCATGTTCAGTTGGGTGTCTGCCAACACCCTCAGATCCTTTTCTGCCTGGCAGCTTTCCAGCCACTCTTCCCCAATAAATTCCAAAATAAAAAAAAAATCCATATCCAAGTGAGTGCTAAAGTGAACAATAAATTTCATTTTTCTGCAGTATTTAATGAGTATTGCAAGAGGGTGCAAGCTTTGGCACACAAAATGTTTATGATGGATGCAAACAAGTAGGATTCACAGCAGGGAGGCTTGTTTTAGGCAGATATCCATCCTGTGTAATTCAGCAAGACACTGGTCTGCCTTCAGCAACCAATGCCAGGATTAGCTATTGTGAAAAATGCCAATTAAAGAGAACAGTTAGCCAAAAATAAATACAGCACTACTCAAATGCCCATCATTACACAGAATTTAAGAACCTCCTTTTCTGTGCAGAGACATTCAACAATTTTCTTCTTCATTTAATGCACCAGGGTGCCCATTCAGGTCTGATACATTTTGTTTCATTTTTCTCAGATTCAAATGCATTGCCTTCCATTTTGACGTATTCTACATATTGCTGGATCTTCAAACAGCATTGGTGGTATTGGCCTGTTAAGGTAAGTTCCACTGAATGCGAGTTCTACAAAGCTAGCAGTGACTAAAAGCACTGTGGCCAGATTATAGGTAACACAGTAGTTGACTTTGTGTTTTCAAGAAGTTCAGAAGAGTTTGTTAAGTATCATCTTTTTTCAGTAAGCATGAGTCCCTGTGGAGTTGGATAATATGCAGTCACAAGGTCAGAGCTGATCCTGATTAGTTGGTGGTGTTAGATTACCTGGATGGATGACTGGGAATAGATCTTCATATTTATCATCAAAAAATGTCCTTAATGTAGTCTGAAGATGGCAGAGGCAATGTATTTAGGAAACGTTGACGAGGGGTGTACAAGTCTGAGATGGAAATGGGGTCCCCCGAGCAGCTTACGTCAAGCAGTATATGCTTAGGCCAGTGTCCTGGGTTTGGCTAGGAGAGGGTTAATGTTGAGGAGCAGCATTTACAGTTACCTTTGTAGTACAGATCTATGGTAGTACTCTTGTATAGTGGCTTTCTTTAGCATACCACATCATACAGAAGTGGCTGGATCCAGCAGTTCATGAGAACATGGTTCAATATATGGTGCTTTTAATGAAGTAGCATTGCAGATTGAAATTAGCCTGTTTCTGCCTGCAATCTGAACATGACTGAGTAGCTTTTAAAAACCAGCTTAAGACCAGGCACAGATGAGAATAACGCTCATCATAATCATAAATATTACAGAAATTTTGTGATTCGTGTGTCCCATGTTATGTGACCATCACCTCCATTGTCTTGGCCAGCACAGCAGTTGGTGCTGACCTAAGTCACTTTTGATTCGTCGTTCACCTCCTTAGTAAAGCATTTTGTATTGTATGCTGAGTCCTGTTCTAAGCAGATCCCAAGTACTTCCACTTCATAAAACCCGAGACAGGCCTAGCAATGAAGGTTTTATGTGAAGTGCTACTATATGCTGCTTGCTGTTCTTTTGAAGAGCTTCCATTCTACCTTAGAAAAAGATGCCAAAATAATTATATCATCTACTGAGAAGCCTTGAATTAGTAGCAGAAGACAATTTCTTTTCAAGGGGCTCTTGAAATCTCTTAAACATAGTTTTATTGTTCCACTGGTGAATCAAACCAGGAGCACTTAGTGCAAAGAGCAGCTTATTTGAGGCTTATTCCTGTAGGCAGCAAGCCAGCTCCATGTGTGTGCTAGGCACACACTTCTTTTCAACATCCTCTCATCTCAAAAGATTATACGCTGCTATATCTCCTAGGCATAGAATTAACATCCTTTCACTGAAGTGGAAACCTTTATCCTGCTGATATCCTTCAGTGTTTCTAGTTCTTGTGATCTCAGGAGCGGATTTATACACTTAGACATATTGGGGTGCTTATGTATATGCATGCTTACATGTACCACAATGGAGATTTAGAACAAGGGCAATAGTGATTATTCATTTTCAAGATAACACTGACAAAAACAGAGTATTTAGTTTTTACATAGCAGAAAACAGAAAAAAAATGTCCACTCTTTTGTGAAAGATGTGAGTTTCTCTCCTACATTGCACTCAACGTGTTAGCACATATCCAGTTCTGCTAGCTTAGGGGAAATCCTCAGTGAATGCTACTGCAGAAATGCATAAAAACAGCATCATGCTTCTATTTCAATTAAAAAAAAAGCAACAAACCCTTGTAAGATCTTGCTGTATGTCATAACTTTTTTCCCCCCCATTACTTCCTTTACATATCACCTCCATACGCTGCAACTGCATGTCTGCATGGGGAACACACCCTCCAAGGGTCCAACAGTTCCTGTGGGGATGGAATCCAATGTCCCCCATTCCCTCAGAAAATGCTAAATCACAGAATGGTCAGGTATCACCCTGTAGTAGCAACACTCCTACCCAAATGCTCACGGCCTGCCTTGTTTATCTTGCCTCATGTGTAGTGCTGTAGTCTTCAGATGATATATTTCTTGCTGTGCCCCATCATTTTGCTGCAGATTTAAGTGGATTTTGTAATAGCTCTTAATATACTGTTTCTTGGAGTTGCCAGAGTATGTTTATTAATAGAAACAATAATTTTTGGCCTGGTAAATTAATAACAATTTTCATGTAAAGAGGCAATCTGTAGTAGAGCAATCCCACAATAATAAGACTAGAATGTTAGTGAGTATAGATTTCTTAACATAGCACATGTACAAACACAGTTTATGAGCACAACACCAAAAAGCTGAGCTTCAGGAACAATTGTATAGTAGGGAACCGAAATTCAGACAGGAACATGATTTATTTCACAGACATGTTTCCTAAGGGTAGCTTCTTAGGTGTTTTTCCAGAAAGAGGTTGCTCTATTGTTAAGCACTGTAAAAAGAGAAATAGTTTATTGGGACTGCCTTATACATGAACCTGCAACAGGTCAAATGAGAAAACCTGTGACTAAGGACCTGATCGAGATTGCTTGTGTGGATATGAATCTGGAAATTCATCAGAAGTGTAACAGTACACACATGCAGCTAAGGATCTGAGAAACAGCTTGCTGGAAGTAATGAATAATTCAGACAGTTCAGTTAGATGGAGCAAAGAAGGTTAGTGCTCTTGGTCAGGAAAACCTTCACAGCTGGCACAGATCAGGCAGACAGGTATCAAGTGATGATATATGCTGGAAAAGGTTGCTCATTTTTTTTCCCCCCCCATGTTTCCTATTCTAAGTCTAATGAAAAATGTAACCTAAACGCTGACCATCAATCTTAATTCTAAACAAAAGCATAACATCTGCAGAAGCAGAAAATAGCACTTCTGTTTTGAACTGAACATCTTGGATCTGCTGGAATAGCTGGAATTTTTTTCTTATTTTCCTCTTCCAGTGACTGGTTAGTGTATTATAGCTACTTCATAAAACCTGAGTTTGCACTTGTATCCTTTAGAATAGAATATTTCAGTTTTAAGGGACCTGTAATTAGAACAAATTAAGGGCATTGTCCAAATGCCTCAAATACTGACAGGCTTGGGGCATCAACCACTCCTAAGAAGCCTCTTCCAGTTTCTGCTGCTCTGTCCTTTGCACCTAAATGTCTCTGGTGGAGTATTCATGTCCTTAGAAGTCACATAAAAGGTTTTTTTTAAAAGTTCAAGCCATTTTACAAGCTCGAAGATACTCTTACCAGTGAAGCATGACATCCATATAGCAATTAAAGATTCTACACCTCAAAGTCACCTACTTTTAGGTTAAAGAAAGTAAGAGCCATAAACCAACTAGGTTTCAAAAAGAAAGGGAGGAAAAAAGCTGATGGAAAGTTAGGTAAGTGCTATTTCTTTTCCAGGACATTTGTCAAGGGCTAAGCTTGTGAGAAGCATCATAGAACTTCAGTTTTCAGGACCCTTTTTTCTGCTGACAAAAAGCACAATCAAGAAACAGACTCGTGCTGAAATGTAGAAGTGTGGTCACCTTGGGTGTCAGAGTTGACAGTCACAAGATCACAGCCCTTTCCTACATTTCCTCTAGATAACCTTTTAGTGCTGATATGGTTTGATTTTTTGGTGATCTATTCTGACCTGTGCTACACAAAGATCCCGTGTACTACAGATTTCACAAAAGTAGTCAAATGACAAGCAGTGTAAAATTTTTTATTTGCTTTGTGTTGCAACCCAAGTAATTCACCCATATTGTTTTCTCAATTGTCATCCACATGACATTCACAAGATCATCTTTAATACATGTCTCCCCAGTGCAAAAGAAAACCACCCATTACAGCAGACCGAGAACAAACTTACAGCATTCCTTTACATGAGCCGGTTCTGACACGGAGGCATACTGTTTTATTTGAGACTCAACTCCGAGGGACTTAGCTAATTGCACAGCATCTGTATCATCGCTGAGTAGAGTCCCAATAGCCACAAGCAATCTAAAGATGGCTTCAAGATCTTTAACATCTTTCATAACCGTGCTGATTCCTGACAGACACTGAGACTTGCCCTCAGTGTTGTTCGCCTTCCGTAAGCACACGGCGTAATTCAGCATCAGCGAGGCGAGCGCGATGTGGCGGTTCCTGCTGCCGCCCGACCTCATTTCCACTGCCCGTGTCAGTATTTCATCTCTGTGCTCCATCACCAGCTTCTGGCCTGCCTGGCAGACAAAACAATTGCAAAGGGCTCGAAGTGCCAACAGCTGGTTTGCTGGCTTTCCGTTAGGGTTCAGGAATTTAAGAAGGATGTTAAATTGTGCAGGATCCTTTTCATTGGCGAAGTTCTCAATCACAGTGGGATGTCTGACAGACAATCTAAGAATGTCTAGGGCTGGAAAGACAACATCTAAGGAACAACACAAAAAAATACATTTTAGTATTAATATTGCATTGTATGCAAGTGTGATGATTTCTTTCAGATACAGACCTCCTTAAACTCATTTTGGGAACAGAAAGTAACAGTTTCACACAGAAGGGTTCAGGTAAGGCACAAGTTGTTTGAAATTCATAAAGACAAGTACTGACAAAACCATTCTTGTAACAGTTTAATCACAAAAAACATGCTTCTTAATTTAGGATAAAGAGTGCTTTTCTTTCCTAAAAGCTCTCATTGGTAAGAGTAAAGGTAAGCACAAAATGCAGTAACTAATCCAAAGTCTCTGAAAGATTTGCAGTGACTGAACACACCTACACAGGCAGTATCCCCCTTTGTATTCATTCCACATTTGACAGTTTAGTGTAGTTACAAAACTGCTTACAGAAATAAAAAACCCCTCACATTTTAGGCTACCTTCAATTCTCAAAACAATTTGCAATGAAAAAAAAGTCCTCAACCAATTGGCAGGAAATCACTGTAAGGAAACAGAGCTGAGACTTTGTTCAATAGTTCCCCTCCTACCCCAACTCTTCCAAACTTCATATATATCTGTCTCCTTGGGTCTACTATGGGTATCCTGGGTTTATATCTAAATCAAAGCTGAACTTGCTTAGCTACTTATTGAGCTGTCTTTCCTGCAGATCAGCAGAACCTTGAGAATTAATGCTTTGTACAATACAAATAGTTTGAAAGGTATGAAGACATCAGCCATCACCACCTCCCAGCTGTGTAAGGCATACTTTAAGTAATATTATGTAATTAGCACAAATTTTTAATACCAAAATAGTCTTCCTATTAAAAATTCTTTAACTGCAGTTTCTGGAAAGCAGTTAATTTTAACTGCAAATTTAGATATTTGCATATATAATGTATCAATTTTCTCCAGAATGTGCAGTAACAACCAAAATAGCCTTTCCAATCCATCAGTGCTGACAATTTAGCAAATGAAATTATATTACCTCCACTTGCATTCATTCAGGATATCATCTCATTAATGCAGTTCTGACCATGTAACCTAGTTTCAGTCACTTATTTTCTTCCATATGAAATAGGAGCAACTTCTGAGATTTATTTTTAAAAATAAAATTGTAGAGAATTTTCTCTCATTTGGTAATAATTTAGAACTCCGACCTCCAACTTTTTTGTTCTATTTCCAAACAAGCCTCACACTTCTTGAGGATGCTCCTACTAATGAAATAACCATGACTGATGTTTACACCAAGTTCCTTCTATGTTTACTATTGTGACAACAAAACCTAACAACCAATTACCAGTTTTGCAGTTCAGGCCACTGCCCTTCCTACTGACCAGTGATATTAGCCTCTGTTTATCATCTTCTGGTTTCTACTTGGATTATAAGCTCCCTGGGACAGACACTGTAACAGCCAGAATATAAAGACTTCTGGTTTGTGGCAAAGTATTGATAAGATTATAATAAAGAATAAAATTGCAAGCATGTACCTTCTGGCCAGTTAATTGCTTTCCATAAGGTCTGAAGTTGCTGTTCTGTAGGTGTTTCAGCAGAGGTTTTGGATGCTGCAGACAGTAAGTTCTTAAGTGTTACCAAGTCATCTTCTGTAAGCTTATGTTTGTCAGTTACATTGCCATTAAGTTCCTTTATTTTGTCTGTAAGACCAACAGAAGACACATGGCTTTGTGACATTAGACCTTCACAAACCCCTATCTTGAATGAAATACTACAAAAAACACCTTACAAACAAGTTACAACTAGTGTAAATGTTGGGGAGGGGTTGTGTTAAGATTTTAAAACATTCCTTTTCCTGGTTTCGTAATTTTCTTATCATCACAATGATTGGTACTATTAGGCCCCTTCTAATACTGCAACACAATGAATCCGAATTCACATCTTAGCCTACACACAGGGAAAAATTCAAGGCCTTTATTTTTTGCAAAGGAAATTATTTTCTTTCTTCTCTATTATTAGATAGTAGAAACAAAAACAAGTTTCTTCAGTATGATCTGTGTTTGTATTTTTACTTAAGAGCCATAAGCAAAATATGACTTCACTACATCCTATATTCAAATCCAAATGTAGTTTAAAAATTGAAGTGCTGGACAAGTTATTTTGATATACATCATTTTGCTTAAAATAGATCTAGCATTAAGGACCAATCATGGTTCTTCCAGAAATGAGGAGGGCTGTCAAAGAGCACACAAGCAGGCAGCATGACATTAGTACACCTTGTGAGCTTTATAGTACACACAAAAGTCAACTGCTGGCCTCTTATTAAAAAACATACAGCTATTATATGTATCCTAGTACAGCCATAATATTTTTTACAAGTGTATTTAACCACACACTGTTTCAAAGCTGCAGGAAACTCAGTAAACCTAGATTTCAGATTCTATGCTTAAAAAAAAAAAAAACAAACCACCAACCTAAGCAGCCTGTGGCTCTAATATGGCTATCCTTCAAGAATATTGGACAAAAATAAACTGATGCAGTATGTTTTTAAGACTACATAAAAGTCTTTGCTTTGCTAAAGCATAAGCAGTCAGCCAGTCTTGCTGTTCACCCTCTTGGGAAGTTCTGGACAAAATTTTACAGTGAAATTTGTGAAAACTAAGAAAAGGCTAAATATGTTTACCAGTGACAACCTCCAGAAGAGAAAAATTCCAGTTTGTGAATCCCTTACCTTCTCCTTGAACACACATACTAGAGCACAGGAAATCTCAGAAACAGATGAGGCTCACTGAGTATTCTGACTGGTAATTCTAAACAAAAAATTAAATCTGAACAATATGCAGAAGAGCAATACTGCAGACAAAGGTCCCAGAGAGACCTGGACAGGTTTCAGAAGTGGACCCACGTGAACCTCACCAAGTTCAACAAGGCCAAGTGCAAGGTCCTGCACCTGGGCTGGAGTAATCTCCACTACCAGTACAGACAGGGCAATCAATGGATTGAGAGCAGCCCTGCAGAGGAGGACTTGAGGGTGCTAAAACTGCAGAGCCTTACTTTAACTCTTCATACACGTTATATTGTATGGCCTTCTGGTGAACTAAAATTTTCATAAGCAACATCAGAAAGAGACTGCACATGACCTGCATATCCAGGAGCTAAGCAAGAAATAAGTAAAGCATTTAAATGTACCAGCTTGCTAAAAAACGTGCTGAACAACAGCAGATATAAACTTAGTGGAAAAAAAACCCAAACAGTGGATATCCTGTTTTAGATAAGAGTTCTTCACCTAAGCCTTCAAAATACATGCACCACTGAAGTGATGAATGCAATTTTAAAAGGTCAAAGCAAAGGAACAGTAGGAAAGCTATACAAAATCACTTAGCTTTTGAAGTAACCACTTCTGATTGTTTCAAACAGATAAAAAGGTGAAACTACCATTGAAATTAAAGCACTGACCCAGTATTTGTATAGGATTGGCCTGGTCAAAGGTCACAGCATCCTTCTCTGGAAAATAAGGATTTTTAACTTCAGCTTTGGCTGATTGGGAGGCTCCCTTTCCTGCAAAGGAAATGTGAGAAGTTCAGTGTACCAAACCAATATAGAACAATATCCTACCAGTGAGTCTCTTCTGCTGGACATAACTCAGAAAAACATCTTTTAGAAAACCAAATGATTATAAAAAAGCTGCCATTCTTTATGCTATTTTTACATTCAAGGGTTAAAACTTGAAGCAATACCTTTACAAACACTCTCCCTCCATGTAAAACTTTAGACAAGCAACACTAAATTACAAGAGCTAAATGCACAGACATTAATAGGAATGAGTGTTGCATTTAAGACATGAAAATGGCAAGGGTAATTTTAGACCAAAGATTCCTCCTGCCCCTGAAAAATTAGTTTAAAGAAAGTAAAAGATAATCAAAACTGTATCAGCTTCTTTGATCAACAACTAACTAGTAAGAATAAAAATTCTCAAAATCAGATTGCTATCATTTAATTTAAATCTCTACATTAATCTGTACACAATTCCTGCATATAAAAGAATGCTGTTACCCCCACTTTTAGTTTCCAGAGTATAAGCAGCTTCAGTTCGCTCATTGTTGTGGTTTGAGGCTTGGAGTGGGGGTGTGACCTTCCAGCACCTGGGAGGACCCTGGGTGGGGGTGAACCATTGTATTCCCTCCCCTTCCGTGCCACACCCTGGGGAAGAGGCAGGAAGTGGGTGTCAGCCCCGCTCCTGCCCTGTGGCTTCGGGTCCAGGTGTGCTTCGCTCCCTGGGACCCTGGAACTGTTCTCAGGGTTTTGTATACCTTGTTTTATGTCTGTATTTCCCCTAATCTTTGTATATATTTTTTCTTACCTCCCTTTTTCGTTTTCTGTTCCTTGTTAAACAATATACTTTATTTTTTCATTTAACTCCCAATCGGTTTTTCAAAGTCTCTCTCTCTCACTGAGGGGGGGAGGGGAGCACATAGTTCCATTCCATGTGGGTCCTACCCTGAACTCCTTTTTACATGGAACCAGAACACTCGTTCTTTTTAATTAAGTGTAAATTTGCATCAATATAGAATCCATGTCAAGAGAAAAATTAAAGATCGGGGATGCTTTTCATGGCAAGCGTCATCTTACCTGCATCTGGGTCAACACCACCCACTGCAGCTACATCTGATGCAGCAGGAGTATAGCGATCAGCACCTGAACAGAGACATCAGGATTTTTAAGCACCACCACAGGTATAGAGGCAACGTGTACCTGTATTTAGCTACTTGTTTTCAAGCCAGTATTAGAAGCGCTTGTTTGCACTTAAGGGATTGAAAAGAATTCTTCAACAGCAAAATTTAGGGATTCAGTCTATGCCTGTGTGTGAGGGTGGTGCCAGTGGTGATGACAGCTTTCACAAGCTCAGTAACCCACAGCTGGGAGACATTCTGGCACGGTCTCTGGCACCCACTAGTGCAAAGGCCCTCAGCACAGCAGATACCTTTTGCAGGACAAGCTCCAGGAGGAGGCCACCACTGCCAGGGCTGGCTGGCCTCTGTGACTGGGACCAGCAGTGGCCTCTCCTGTGGGAGGTGAATTATGTTGATGCCACTGAAGCCTTAGGTGCAGGAACTGCAGGGTCTTTGCATCTGCAGAGACCACAGACATAGCCACAGAAAGCAAGGACAGCTGGACACCACAGTAGAACAGGAACAGAGAGACTGTCAAGATGCAGAAGGCTGAAGAAAAGCTGTGACTTTTGGCAAAAGCACAAAGGCTTCTGCTCCACCCGTAGATCTGCAGCTGCATAACAGGCAAAAAAAAGGGGAAGGCAAGGAGCAGTAATGGGAGGCTTCTTCCTGCAGCATACTGGAGGCACCCATCTGCTGACATGACCTTGGAATCATCCTGTCTTGGGAGGATGGTTTCCACTAGGGGCCAGGATGCTGCAAAGAGACTGACAGAGCGTGTCTGGCCTTCAGATTATTACCCTGCTGCTCCTCCACATGGGCATCAATGACACAGCCAACGAAGTCCTGGAGAGCATCTAGAGTGCTTAGAACTCTGGGGGCATGGGCGAAGGGACCAGGTGGATCTGATTGTCTTTGATACCTCCAGCAAAGCAAAAATACTTGAGTAGGAACGGATTCATCAAATGGGTCAGCAATTTCCTGCATGGCTTGTTTTGCAGGCAGGACTTTGTCATCAATGACTACAGGACCCGCTTTGAGGGGCAGGAGATACTGCTCAGGAGTGAGGTCAGTCTGACAAAAGCAGGACTGAAATGTCTTTGCAAACAGGCTTACTAGACTAGTGAGGAGGACTTAAACTAGCTATGCCAGGGAGGGTTACAATCTAAAATTTAGAGTGCAAGGTACCAATAAATGTAAAAGGAAGAAAAGGCATAATAAGGGAAAAAAAACCTCTGCTTCTATGAGTATACCCGTTCTGTGTTGGACATGTGTTTAAGAACTTGACAAGACACAAGGTTTAAGACACTCCTCCCATGAAGAGGACAGAGTGACACAAGGCAGCCCAGACAGCAGAGGTCCCTCCTCCTCTAAACAGATCTGGACATCCTTTGACAGTGGCAGAGTCCACCTTACCAGTCTGTCTGACACTAGTGCCCCAAACTGGGAACTGCAAGTAATGCTGGTGTGGAGCCAAATGCTCAATGCAGCTCGACACAATAAAATATTTATCTTAAATGCAAGCAAGACAGATCAGGAATCTTACATCACCTGTAAACGGATCTGCTGCAGTTATTGTACTTGGTCCAGATGAAGAGCCTGGAATGTAACGTTCACCACCTAGTGAAACAGTAAGAAATGCAATGACTACTAGGCACAGCTAGATGTTACCTAAAAAGTACTGACATTTTAATAAAAGCAGCTCAAAAATAAAGTCAAGCATAAATGACTTATTGTTCATTGTGGCATTACAAGAAAGTTGATCCTATCCACATAGAAGTTCCCTGATGCTGAACTAATTCTTCCTAATTATTTGAGGGTTGGAATTTGTTTTCTGGGCCATATGCATTACACATTTGGACACAGTCAAACCAACAAAAGCTCAAATGACAGCAGCTCTGTGAGTTACATCTGAACCTGGTTAGCCTGTATTCTCATTTCTAGTTCACTGCAAGAAAAATATTGAGGTCAGATACTTTAATGACATTTTATCCTTAACCTCATCTTTGGGAAATTACAGGATAAACCACTCTTATTCCATTAATGTGATAAGCAGTATGTAATTCAATAACATGTTTCAGGCTGAGTGATTAATTTGTTCTAGTTCCATTTCCTGCCTTAACAGCAGCCTCCTGCTGCCTTAACAGCACCTGGCCACCTCTTAGAGTAATATGAGAAGTGGAGTTTCCTTCCACTGGCAAGAAAAAAATGCAAGACTAAAAAACCAATCATTTTGATTGAAATGTTGTTGAAGACTTGTTCTGACAGATACTTCAGAAGTCTGTCAAGTTCTCACACCTCTCTTTTCAGACCTATCTGTGCCTTGCCCTTAATTATTTGAGGACATGGAAGTCCTTTGCAAGAAGCACAGGAGCTATGACACTGAAGTGTGCCTGAGCAGACAGTAAGGTGGCCTGAGAACTGACTGAAGAGCCAGGGCCTGAGGGTGGCAATCAGTGGCACAGCTTCTAGGTCACTGGTGGCATACCACAGGGGTCAGGACTGCACCCAGTCCTGTTCAACAGGTTCATTAATGGTCTGGAAGATGGGTCAGAGCACACCCTCAGCAAGTTTGCTGATGGCAAAACCGGGAGAAGTGACCAATGTCATTGTTTAAGTTTAGAATGCTTACCTGTAAATGGATCTGAGCACTGGCTACTTGTGCTGGGCAGTGCCTGCCCCTTCGTGTTGTCCATGATGAACCTGGCCACCTCATCCAGAAACACGCTGCTGAGGTTATTCTTCTGCAGGAAGTTGTATGCAGTCAGCCAGGGATCTTCTGTGATGTTATATGGCAGTTTGTAGGAATGCCCACTTTCATTTACATCAATAGTGAAAACATAGTCATACTCCTTTAAGCAGAATAAAAATAAAAACAAATTAGAAGTTTGTCAGCGCTTTTTACAGACAATTATATGCAGAATAATAATGGCCCAGGGATAAACCTAAACACTTTAATACCATCACTTGCAGACTATATCAATAATACTCTCCCTATGTAGACTGCAAGTAAAAACCTACTTACAAACTGTTTCAAGAAGAGCAGGCTAAAACACGTGGTGCTAATGTGTGCAGATACATTACAAAGTAACAGATGCACTGGTTAACTCTGATGGACACTCCTGGCTGCCTGCAAAGCTATAGTGCAGTCAATTCCCTCAAGAAACTTTGGTCTTAAAAGCACACTTCTAATGCCAAAAGACAACAAAATCCTCAGTTTTCTTTAAATCACGGGTAACTTTAATCTCAAACAAATTCCCTTCTCTGGTGGCATTAGAGAAGAGACTCTTCTGTGCCTATTTCACTAAAGGAAACATTTTTCAGCTTACCTGTCTTTAGGTTTAAAAGTTACTATAGAAGAGGGATACAGAAAGCCTGGTACCTAATACTTTAGGTAAGCCTTACATTATCAGTCATAGAGTTCACTTTCTTTAGAAGGGAAGATAAAAATAACTTTTCACAGTATTAGGAATAAATTAGAGAACTTGATCATTTCTCTACTAGCGCCTTTCTCCAAAGGAATTTGTCTCCATTGGTTTGGTCATTTTACAAAGCATGTTTCAAAAGTAATCCAGCAAGGAGTACTTATTTTATACTTCTACCTCTGAGTGTTAATAAATCAAAGAAAAAAAGTATTAATATTTTCTAAATTTTATTTTCTCTAAGCAACAACTGCAATACATTTTCAATGGGAAAGTAAATATTTTACTTAGGAAGAAATAAAACCAATTAAAGTTTGCATATACCTTTCCTTCAAATAAAACCTTTCCAGACGTTTGTTGTGTGGCTCCAGAAGAACCAACAACATCGCCAATCTTTATCCATCTTCTTTCTCTAACACTCCACTGATATGCTTCTACCTTCCCATTATCTTTAATAATCCGTGTCTGTCCATCTTTTGTTCCTGTAAACAGGAGAGTTTAAGACTTTGAACAAATGTGACAATACAATTTACTTTAGGGGAGAAAATTCTTCAAATAGCATTCAAATTTGACCATAGTTCAACACTGAAAGTCACAGCACAGGAAGTAACTGGATACCACATTCCACAAGAACAGCAGAAATCTCAACAACAGCATTTTGCAATTACAGTTAAGGGTATTTGTCACCAGACTTAGCTGCAAAAGCAATCCTTAAGTCAGGTATTTCAAAAGTTTACCATTTTCCCAGAGACGATAATCAAGAAAGGTGATATTCTCCCATGCTCTTAAAGATAGAAAGCTTCACATGATTGTAAGATTTCTGCCACTTGCTGATCAGAGCCAAGGGCTGAGGTCACTGGTTACCTGACCTTGGTATTTGTTTAAGAGTAATCTGAACTACCAGTGCTTCCACTCTATTCTCAGTAATCTCCCAAGCACCTGCAAAGTGTGAATTGAGCCAAGACCAGCTATTTCTCAAGCTGAAAACTAAAGCAGAAAATTTGCTTCTACTTCTAGGAAAAAAAAAAAAAAAGAGTCCACATTTAGTAGTCCTCCTGCAAATTACATAACTGTCTCGTTCTGTTGTCACAGCTGGCATAACAGATCCAAAACAAAGCAAACACTGCAGCATCCCAATTTCCACCTTTTTCTAAATTATCTCAGAAGAGAAATTTTTACCATTTTACTCCAAAAAATCCCCACTGCAGTCTAGCCTCCACAATAACCAATAAAAGGACAGCAGAGCAAAATGAGGCCGTTTTCTTCAGTAACTATTAAAAACAATCAAAGCCTTAATTCTGGAAACTATGGAAAGTTCAGTACCTCAGAACGGTGATTTGGAGGCATCTCTAACATGACAAAAGCACAGTAACTTACCAGGTTCCTTAAGACACTCTCTTCCAGGAAGGTCACTAGCCCTAATATCTCCTAAATCACCATTTTTAGGGTCAATGGATGCTTGGGAAAGCTCCTTTTCAAAAGCTTCAATCTCCTCAGTACTTGCTGTACGTTCGAAAGCCTCTGTAAACACTCTTATAACTCCATCACTGAATGGAGAGAACACATTCAAACAGAAATACTGTTTTAAATGTCAAAGCAATTACATCCATTCTAACACCGACTTCCATGTCACGAGAAACCGTAAGTATTTCTAACAAGCCCTCCCAGTTTTTTTTATGAAAGGAATTCACTCTCATGCTAAGAGCATCCAGAGAAGGACTTAGGCAGGTAATCCCAACTGTAGTATAGTTTTAAACTGAAGGCAGGATATGCCTGTCAAGTGTTCTTTATACAGTACTTCTAAGTCCATTCTCAGTCTATCCATACTTTACCACGTTCTCAAAGAACTCACTATACCTCTGAATCACAGAGCAAAATGACTTTCTGCATGAAGTCTACACACGTTGGAATTTAATCCACAGGCACACTTTGATGGCTGTATTCTTAAATATTGGCAAAACTGATATCCAAAATAAGACTTGCAATTTTGCCAAGTGTTTGCAGATTTAGATATAAAAATACACCAAGAGTAAAACCTGGATACCTTGCACCAACTACAATGTCACCATTGTCTAACACACAACAGGACCACACAGATTGAGCAGGAAGTCTGATTGTTTGAGCACACTCCTCTTCCTTCCAGATTCTAACAGTTCTGTCCTCTCCAGTAGTTACAAAACCTGAAAAGGAAAAAATATACATTAAAAGAGTTTATATCTTTGTACTGTAATACCAGATGCCATCTTGCAACTGGGTATCTAAAAATCAGGTAGAGGAAGTTTTCTACAATTTAATACTTCTCTAAACTGCAAGAAGAGCTAAAATAAAGGTACTGCAGAGTCGTATTTTCAAAAAAGAAAGTGCCTAAATTGCAGACTGTGCAGCCAGACAGGGAATGAAACTATGCTCAAGACAAACAAAGGATTCCTTCCTCCTTTAAAAGTTTAAACAAAGACCTCTGAACAATTTTGTAACCGTGTTTTATCTTACACTATACTCAGTTTCAAATTTAAATTCAGATTTTTGCAAGGCAGGCCTGCTTTTTGAGGAAACAAACATGTATAAAGCGCTCTCTGAAGTCTATAAACTCCTTGTTCTTGTTTTGGCTGGGATATACACAACTTTCTTCCTCGTGGCTGCTGCAGTTTAGTTTTTGGTGAGAGAATAAAGTTGATAACACACAAATATTTTAGCTGTTGCTAATTATCGCTTATCCTAAATTAAGGGTTTTTCAGTTTCCCATGCTCTGGTGCACAAGAAGCTGGGAGGGAACACAGCCTGGATGGGGTTAAGCCACAACAATGCTTAATGAGGAATTTTAAGGCATAAGAGATTTACAACATTCACTAATATACACACATGCACTTTACCTGTTGAACAAATATGCAATTGTCCCCTACACCACACAAAAGTCACTGACTTGGAATTTCTTCTACAACTGTCCACAACAGTTCTGAAATCTCTAAATCTCTAGCTCTGACAACAAATGCAATTAAGCCCTAGGCATAAAATTCTTAAAATTATAACGTATGTAGGAAACTTTGTACATTTACATTATCTCAAACTTGTAAGCCACACGTTACCATTTTAGTACTCTGCAACAGTGCTGAAATACAGATGGCAACCCAGATGACAGCTTTATCTATTGCTTTAGCAAATTTTCACTTAAGCATGACAATTAATCCTAACTCAGGACCTTTCATCTCACCTACTGCCAAAGGAGTTCTAGTGGAGGTGTGATTTGGAGTCAATCACAATATTCTTTAAAAATTATTTACACTGAAGAAAGAAAGTCAATTAAACATGACATGAGTTCTTTAGTCGTGGGAATGCCATGGAACTACAGAATGCCTGTCTTGTAATTTCAGTTTGGAAGACTGCTGGGTAATACTCACAAAAAATAATCCTACCTTTAGACTGGGGCAAGACAGAGATGCTGTATATATAATTTGTATGTCCATAATACACCTGCATACACGTGCCAGAGATGTGCCATTTTCGAACACTTGCATCATTAGAACAGGAAAGGAATTCCATGTCACTAATAACAGCTAAACCTCTCACACAATCTTCATGTCCTTTATAAAAAGAAAGAAAAACTTAATACAGCATTTCCTTCCATTAGCAGCAGTATAACATGTCTATTTAGCTCATACCAATCTTCATTATGGCAGTAACTTAAAAAGAAAAGAGCAATCCATTGTTCATTATTCTCTGAAAAAAAATTAAAGCAATATGGATTTCTGGGCATTCAACTTTAGACACTTTAAAAATCCTGCATAAAAAAATGGTACAATTTATCCAAAGTTTTGTGGGGGGTTAATTTTTTTCCTTTTAAAAAAAAAAATCACATGACTGATGACATTCCCAACTGCAGCAACACTTACCAGTGAACGTTCTTTCACATTTGCCTCCCTTCCACAGTTTAATAGTTTTGTCAGCTGAACCGGTCAACATCAATCCATCTGTAGGCAACACACTCACTGCCCATACGGCAGCCGTGTGACCCCAAAAAAAAAAAAAAAAAAATATTGTTAGACTTGACAGTATCAAATTCAGAGAAACAATTTTATATGGTTGAAGAGCAACTTCCTACCTGTAAAATCATCAATGACGTTTCGTTAACCCAAACTCTGGCCGTCATGTCCCAGGAACCACTCAATAATAAACCATGTTTTCCATGCGAAAGGCTGCAAACTGGAGTGAACATTCAAATCAGCACTGACAAGTTTGCCACCAATCTTAAGACACTTATTTAAAATCTACTTGGTATGAATTAAGTGGAACTGTAGTTACAGTGCAACCAAAAAATTTTGCTTTTTTCCATTCTTTTTCAAGAAATTTTTCTGTTTCTTAGTACCAGACTCTTCTCTCCTCAGACCAGGACATGTTGACAAGGTTCGTTAACTAATCAAGACACAGATCTAATGCAAAGTTCTAGTTTTAAGATTACAGAAAAAGCCATGATTTCATCAATGTGTATTAATTTATGTATTCAAGAAGCAAGATTCTGTATAAAAACCACTTAGTTCATCTTCTTGGAAGGCAGAATACTACTACCAAGAAGTTGTGGTGACATTTTAAAGACTTAACAAAAAGATAATCTGCAAATGCTCCAGTAATACACAGGTATAAAACAGTGCTAATAAGGTTTACTAGCAAGTTTACAAAAAGAGCAAAGTTATAAACACATAGTAACGCATCCATCTAATCATTCATAAAAGGAAAGCATGGCCTTGTTTCTTGCTTCTGTGACTCCACAGTGAGAGCCAGACAGTATTCAACCCACCAGTTACCTCCTACTTTACCCCCACACACACTTAAAAACAGATTTTGCAATTAATTCCATTTCACATTTTCTAATGTCTTACATTACTGTAAGAACTGTTACAAATAGATTCCCCTAAAAAAGCAGTAAGGGAAATCTATAACTTGAGATGTCTAGAATTTACACATCTCAATGTCACATGTTAACTACTCATCAACCATAGGTTTCTGATAAACTACTGTTTAAGCTATTCCATGCATCCTTACACAGCACCATTACATTCCTTCCCAGACAACGTCAAGCAGTTTGTCATACAAAAATTTTAGGTGCTGTTTAGCAGTCCAGGGTATCTTCAAACTCCAGAACCATTGTGAGGCACTGGAATGGGCTGCCCAGGGAGGTGGTGAAGCCACCATCCCTGGAAGTGTTCAAAAAAACATGTGGACATGGCACTTCAGGACACAGTGGCCATGGTAGTGTTGGGACGATGGACTTGATCTTAGAGGTCTTTTCCAACCTTAATGATTCCATGACTCTTAGCACAGTTAAAAAAAGGCCCCAAACCTCCCAGACTTTAATTTTTTTTTAACCCTATAATTACATATTACATCCTATACTTACATGATGTCAAGAAAAGAAAAAACTTAGTATGCTAATATGAAAATTGCTCTCTCTTCTATTCTATAGCCCAAGAAAAAGTATACAAAGTTGGGTTAGTATGTTACATGTTGCACTAACCTGACTAGAGAGTGATGAAATTTCTGCAGTGAGCTTTTAGTTTTTATTGTGCATTTAAGGCACCAATTAATATTAGATCCTCATCCAGACAATACAATGGGCAGTGTAAGTTTGTTTATTCAGGAAGCTGACTTCTTTACTTCTATCAACTTTGACATAAAAAGTAAGCATAATACATGGAGAACTAAATTAAGTGCTTCTTAAAAATCCAACTCTTGACAAAAGGGTAATTCAGTAAACTGTCACATGTTCACATATACAGTAAAAGCTCAACCATTCACCAGTGTAAATTTGAAGTCCTTGTAATAAACAGTCAGTGCACAAATTGACAACGTAAAATCCTTTCTGCAAAGGCCATAATTAGCTTGCTATGTTAAATACCAAAGAAATCAAAACCAAGTTTTACAACTTCAACTTAACCTCCTCTCTAACAAATCACACTGACTTTTATGCAACAAACTCCAAAACAAAATGACTACATACCCGTGTCCGTATGTCCCTTAAGGACATAAAGGGGAGTGGGGTTGTCAACGGTAAAAACACAAATAATATTATCATTGCCACCAGTTGCAATCAGTCCATGAGGAGAGACTTCATTTGGAGGTATGATGCACACACAAGCTACAAAATTTGAGTGGCCACTCATACAGAGCACTTGGGTAAAGCTCCTGTGAAGACTAAACACATACAATAATCAGTTCAGAGTCATAACAAAACCAGTACTTATCTGAGGCACTGTATTACAACAAGTGCTTTATATTCCGACTCTTAAATTAATGCTGTGCTTGTATTGTGCTAAGTACTACAGATGACCTAGAAAGAAAAAAACTTAAGAAAAAAAATTATATCCCAGCTTTCCAACTCTGGAAGCAATATTTAAAGGTTTCCACTTGCTTTTGAGTAATGGCAGACCTGGAAGAATTTAGTTCTTTTTCTTGATCACTAGCAAACACTATGACCAAAGTCAAAAAAAGTAGTTACCATTTGCCTTTATGAAATCTTCCAAGTCTCAAATACGTATCCCTATACATCCTAAAATAACAGCATATAAATGAAGAAAGCTTACTGCCTGCCAAATCTTTTCACTGGCTCTTAATTAGGCACACCGCATAGGTTTAATAGTTAAATACACTGTAACCAATTTAAGCAGCCCACGTTTCTTCACCACGATCCAGCCTCGATTACTCGCAGCACTAACCGGATAAAGCTACTTATCTCCACACAATGAATGTGTGGGCAGTCACGGTGGTGTTTTTTTCCCCTTCTGTTGTTTGTTGCGCCCCTCCCACCCAAAAAAAAACAATCCAAAACAAAATAACCCGTATCATCCTACTGCCATCCTTCCTACTCTAATTTCGCAGAGCACGCTGAAAACGCCGACACTGGGTTAGCCGCCTGAGCAACCCCAGCCTTCCCCAAAGGCAGA